TATTTAGGACCGAAAGAGTTAAACATGAAATTTGTCGAAAAGTATGTATACTCAACCATGGAGTTAAACGTGAAATCGTCTGAATGATGTGTGCACTCAGCCCTAGAGGTAAACATGAAATTTGTCGAATGTTGTTTGTACTCAACCCGTGAGTTAAACATGAAATTTGTCGAATGTTGTGTTCACTTAACCGTGAAGCTAAACATGAAAATTATCTAACGTTGTGTAAACTCAACCCTGGAGGTAAAAATGAAATGTGTCGAACGTTGTGTCAACTTAACCGTGGAGTTAAACACGAAAAGGTCGTATGTTGTGTATACTCAACCCTGAGTTAAACATGAAATCTGTCGAATGTGGTAAATGTAAGAAACTCAGCTCTCCCGTCTCGTGCATTTTCATAGCCAAGATTTAACTGACATCATGTCCCCATCTTTATGTTGGTTGGCTCCCGCTCCTCTTTCCAGTTACCATGCCTTCTGCTATTATTTTTGCCAGTCCGCTGTGACCCCTGAGTTGGCCAAAATATTTCAGTTTCTTTCTTTTTTCCCCTTTGGCTATGATATTCTGAGAATCTTTCTATAGCATCTCAGCTCAAAGGCTCATACTTTCTTCCTTAAGGTCTGCGAGAAAGTCCACGACTCACATGTTTCAGATGTATGCCCTCAAAATGCTTAATAAAGTAGCTCTTTCAAATGCCGACGTTTGTGTATGTAGCGACTTGCTGGATAAAAGGAGTCAAATTAATAACTGCATGAGAACTTGAAGAATTAAAAACAAGTATAATATCACACCACTGCCGGTCACAACCCCGGATAAGAAAGAAGAAGGGTTGGGAGTGGCGCCAGCTTCTCCGCCTAATAAAAACATGATTTGCTACCAAAACTTGCAAGAGGATGTCATTCCGGAGAACAATGGGTCAAGTGATGCGTCGATTCATCAATGATGTCGAAGTGATTGCACGGAATACAACGGAATAAGGAATTAGACTGGGAGCCCTATGTGACATATAATAGCACAGCAGGGCAATGCATGAACGAATAAATGAATGAATGAATGAATGAATGAATGAATGAATGAATGAATGAATGAATGAATGAAGAATGAACGAATGAATGAATGAACCATCACACCTAAATGTATCTGTTAATGTGTTTTAAGGTCAGGTTATATAAAATGGTATGCTGTGTTCATATCAAGAGAGCAATGACGTTTCCAACACTATTATCTTGTTCATCAGTTCAAAACAGAATGAATAAACAGGTGCACATAGTCTCGCAATAAAAACTGTCGTTGCCTTGTATATCGATATGCCCTTCGCATTTACGGAACACTCCTGTGGGCTGGCCAGTTTTCTTTCACACGGCCATTCTTTGCCGTAATTTCCCAGATAATTCTCAAAGTTATATGGTGCCAATTGTGTTTGACTAGATCAATCCCACAGCCGTACTGGCCAGAAAAAAATAATTATTCTGCCACTGCTGGGATTCAGCCAGTATAACACGTCTTAATTGGCAAGTATATTATTCACTACAAAACCATAACCACCTCCACCCCCCCCACCCCCGTCCTAAACCCGGCTAGCAAATGTAGGTGTGTATTTACTGCCAAAAACTGCCAATTACTGCCGTTATATACCACTTTTGCAGTGTAGGCAAGGGGAGCCTGAGTTTGAGGATTTACGGCCGCATAACTAGTGCTGTCGCCACGACTGTGCAGGTCAGGATTCTATTGTGTCGACCATAGAAAAAAATCCCTACCCTTAGAGAGAATTCGAATCCGAGTCTCCTGTGTATTTACTGATTTATTTATTTAAGAGTCGACATCAGAGCACGCTAGGCACGGGTATACTCACAGGTGCTCCCACAGAAAATGTCTGTGGTGTAGATGCTAACTGATCCCATAGAACACTGAACTTATCGTGCTCTTTTTCTCATAGGTCCCTCCTTGCCCGATCCTCACCTAATTCTTCGTTCACACATTCTTACACAAGCATGTAATCTGACACCTTTGTCTTCTATGTGTATCTTCTATGTCTAATATATGTATATATGTATAGTTTTCACAAATGCAACAAACATAATAATAATAATAATAATAATAATAAAATATATCAGACAGCAGCAAAAGTAGATCAAACAATGAAAAGGTAAAGACACAACAGGCAACGTTAGGATGTCAAGTGTTGGGCTTGCAGATATACTTTACAAAATCTTTACTATCTTCAGTAGTTTGCCAATGCTAGTCAACTGTCGGCTCTCGCCACCAATGTTGAAACCAACTCAAGGCGATTTGCTTGGATTGAACCCGTCACCAGGGAATTACGAAACTCGTTCGTAACGCCTAAGCAACGATCACCGACACATATACTAATTTATTGCTTAATTGATTGATGTGGTCAGTCTGCAGCCTATTCTACTCGGGCAATTTCCAGAGAGAAAAAAAGTAAGAATATGATCTAGTAGGCATTTTATCAGCCTGGTCCTGGCGCACTAGCTTAGGTAAGGTGGTTAAACCTGACTGCGCGGCGACCGGGTGTCAAACTTCTTGTGGTCCAGGTTCACCCCCGGGGGTAGGCAGAAAAGCCTCACATCTCCCAGATTTATAGTAGCTATCGTGGAATCAAGACTAAAGGGTTACTATATCAATAGTACCGAGCCAAGGGGTTTACAACTCATGGTTTTGGATGTGTAAAAAAGAAAAAAATCAGGCTGGTTTGACCCCAAGGCCGTACTGGTCAGAACAAAATCCTGCCACTTCTAGGGATCAAACCAAGACCTTTATCTGGAGAGTCGACTGCATTCACTGCTATGCCAGTGTGATATCAGGACACAATGTAGACACTTGAAATAAATATCATATAAATAGATACTAAACACAACAAATGCAGATTGAGTGTAACCATATCTTAGTTAAGAAATACGCATAATTAGCCATGCAGGAACAGAATGCATTCGTACACAGGGATAATACATGTGTACAATCAATATAGATATGATTATTATTCTCAGATTTAGTACAGTATAGAGTGTGAATTTTAAGACCTTTATGTGTTCTACGTTGATATGTCTTAGTATACAGTGCCCCTCTTGAAGTGGCTCCAATATTGCTCCACGATTTGTCAAAATAAACTTAACGTGGTTCGAGGGATTGAGACTCAGCAAGTCCAGTTCAATCCTGTCGACGTGGAAGTTTGGGATATAATCTGCATCGGGTAGATTGGGGTGGGGGTGTGGGGGAATGACCTTTTTTCCTGGGTCATCTCAGCTTTGAATAGGTTCCAGGCAATGTTCCAGGGTGGCTGTGTGCTGGTGACCATAGTACCCGTCAAATGTCGATTGGTCTCCTACATTTTTGAAAATGTTGTGAAGCAATACCAAATATGACAACATTTATCAAACGTGTTTTAAATGGCTTTCTATATATATATATATATATATATATATATATATATATATATATATATATATATATATATATATCATCGTTTCTCTTTCTATGAAAGTGCATCTGTCATTTCAGATCAATCGTTGTTTACAGTGCACAGCTAGTGTGGCTTCATGATATCTTAAAACAATGTAAATCTATCATCATGTGTTCGATACGCCATTGTGGTAAGAACCGCCTTTTATATGTATATATATACTGCTATGAAATCAGTGTTGGTATACTAAATCATGGGCAGTCATAGTAACTAATGATTTTCTGGATAATAATGAGGGTTTTGTGGCATTAACACAATAATAAAATAATAGACAAATAGTCATACTTTTGGCAATGTGATGAGAAGACGGAAACTGTGAAACTGTTACACAAAAAAGATAACCTTTGAAAGCGAAAAATGCAGAATGATTCAGATACTCACGAACCGAGGTGATGATGATGATGATGAGAATTTACAGCCGGTAAACGTGAAGAAGAAAAAGAACTGATAACTGTTTACCTACTGACGATGTTTCTTCTCTGAGAACTACTTGAAGATTTGCTATCCCTGTTACTTAAAGGACCCATACTAGATGCCAGTTCGACAGGACAACTCCCGGGCATCCGGTTTAATCTCCTAGGACTATACCATGTACTACACTGGCGTCTATGATACCTTTGACGTATAACATGACTTTTGGTGGGTGTACCAACTGACATTGACATTGACATCAGAAGGCGACAGTGATCATTTTTCGGCCATGTTATGAGAAGAGGGAAAATGGAACATGTTGTGACCACTGGAAAGATCTGTGGAAGGAGGGATAGAGGAAGACAACGAGAGAAGATGCTTCACAGTCTTGTTGCATGGCATGAAGGTGTGTCGGCACTCGAACTGATACATGCTGCAGGAGATCGCAGATTATGGAGAGGCATGATCGCCCACGCCAGTCGGCAAGGCACCTGATGATGATGACACATTGACATAACGTCACCATGATTGGTAACATAATTACACAAAACAATAAAATATTGAAAATTGGATTGTCAAACATGCGATTCAGTTTTGATTTGTAGAAAGACAGTTTTCACTTCGAACACAGAGTTTAGATTTTCTCCAAACCGTCCGCAAAGGAGATCGTCGAGACAGTGCGAGAATCCCGAAGCACTGGCCAAATGCACTTCAATGTATTTGTCGCAAGTTAACTCTTTCTTAAATTTCCGTTTTTCAACTTCTGGTTGTTGTTTTAATTCTACAAATTGCGGTAACATTTATGCTGTGTAATCAGCTAAGTTTTTGGCCGAGAAGTTTTTTTTTTTTTTTACGTGTAGTCTTTCAGTTTTTCATCGAACAAAGACCACAGAACCCAGGACATAAACCTACATGCATCCTGTAACAGCAAGATTGTATTCACATTCATATCCAATCTAAAGACGAGACTCGTGCCTGACCGGGCAACAAAGAATTGAGGAAAAACTAACTTTATCAGTCTGAATTAGTTATAAAAATTACTTTGGTGTAAATTGTCTTCGTAGGTAGTGAACTTTGAAGGATTACTAGAACCTGTAACAACCGGATGTCATAAATCCACCGTGGATTGGTAGGATTTGTAATATCCGCCAGGATCATGGTGATTTGACATCACTGGTGGTGAAGGGTCTTTGGATAATGTCAGTGGTGACATCTGGGCATAGGCGTTGTAACCGCTCTCGTACATAGACTTCATGTCCAACTTGCTCTCGGACATCAGGTTGTTGATGGAGAAAGGGTGGTTAAATGAGTAGTTTGGGTTCAATTGGTGCAGACCCACCTGTTGATGGTGGTGGTGATGCGGATGATGTGTGTAGTGTCCAGCTGGGTGGTAGAGGCCTAAAGACTGTGAAGACAGTTGAGACCCGTAATCGTGGGGGTTCAGTGATCGGAGGCTTGACAATTCTGAAGGTGGAGGTGCATGATGGTAGGACAGCGGTGTGTGACAAGACACTTGCGGGGGCAGACTTGGTGTCGATGGCGGATGAGACATTTCTTGAGGGTGTGGGGATGAGTTTATCACTTCCGACTTTGGCTGTATAAGTAATGAGGATTGGTGCTGTTGGGAATGTTGTTGCTGCTGCTGTTGCTGTTGAAGATGGTGTTGAGGCTGCTGTTGATTGTGATCCTGAGGTCGCGGGGGTGTATGAGATTGGCCGTGCTGAGGGTGACCGCCTGGTATGGGCGAACTCATTGGACTATGGTCATCACATGAGGGCATGCTGTCATCGGGATGAATGCCCGAATCATCTCTTTCGGTGTCTGAACCAGTGGTCTGTCGAATCATTTCTTTCTTGGCACATTTGAATCTTTTTTGACGCCGCAGGTAGCAGCCGTTCTCAAACATATTTCCTGAGTCTGGATGCAAAGCCCAGTAGCTTCCTTTGCCAGGTCTATCAGGTGTCCTTGGCACTTTTACAAAACAGTCATTAAACGAGAGGCTATGCCTTATAGAGTTTTGCCATCTCTGTTGGTTCTGTCTGTAGAAAGGAAATAAGTCCATGATGAACTGGTAGATCTCGCTCAAAGTACACATTTTATTTTGCGATTGCTGTATTGCCATTGTGATCAAAGAGATATAGGAATACGGAGGTTTGGCATGTGTGTATGCCCTTCTGTAGTTCTTATCATTTCTGGGTCTGTTCAACGCGCCATTTCTGTCCATGGACATGAGGCTGGGGTCAAGAGATCTGTTCATCCCGTTCATTTGTGACATCCCGGTCATCGCTGCCATGCCGTTCATTCCTCCCATATGGTTCATACTAGACATACTCCCATATCCTCCCATCGCTGACATTGATCCCATACCTCCCATTGATCCCATGCCTCCCATTGGACCCATACCTCCCATAGTGGCCATACCGCCCATAGTTTGTGGAGAGTAGCCCATGCCACCTCCAATCCCCGACATGGCGGATGGCATAGGGGACATGGAGGGTCCCATCGAGGTCATACTGTTGCCGTATCCACCTGGGGCCATTCCTGACCCCATTCCTGCAGGAACAACAAAGACACACATTACATCATTGTTTTTGTAATATTTTAAAAACTAGTTTTACTATAATATAATTCTTAGGTTTGGGTTTTAACAATGGTAGTAACCCATTAGTGTAACCCATAAGTGTAACCCATAAGTGTTCCGTTTTACTTTTATCTCATGCCTGAGTCCGAAGAATCTCAGCACAGTGCGCAAACTTCGTAGCACCGGCGAGGATCCTGAAATACTCTGGGTAGACTTTTAACTCCAAACGCCGTTAGGCTACTCATTTAGATGTCCAAGATCCAAGAGATATTTTTTAACGTGCGCAACAAAACACACGGGCGTCCGATTTTACTACCCAGAGACCAGGGGAAATTACTAGAAGTCCGCGTGAAAAAATCCCAGCCTTTACCGCGGTCTGAACCCGGGACCTTCAGCACTCAAGGTGGACGAAATGCATTCAGACCACTCAGCCTCTCCCCCGCCCCTCCCCCCCCCCCCCCCCCAATATATTATTCTTAAAGGTTACAAACTTTCGTTGGATTTATTTTATTTTTTCATTGCTTTACAATGGCTATTAGATAATGAAAACAAAAACAGGGGATTGGGGGGGGGGGGGGGGGGGGGGTAGGCTCTCAGTAAAGTAAATCATTTGATACAAATTAGTTTACGCAATATATTATGGATCGAGAGCAAAATTTGGGGACACAAGTTAATCAAATGAAAGAAATTTCAGTAATGCGGATACAAAAAATACATCGCACAGTTAAATTCTGGATTACATACAAAGCATACATGGAAAGAGAAGAAGGACGTAGAGCACGGGGTAGACCAAGAACAAGATGGAAGGATAACATCAGAGAAACTCTACAACAGCACGATGTGCCTATGGGCGAGGCAGTTAGAAGAGCTAGAAACAGAACCTTATATCTCCCTCGACACCCACAGCGGTAAAAGAGGAAGTGAAGAAGTGAAGAAGAAGACAGTTAAATGCCTGGTATATTAAGCTTTGTCTCGTAAGGTGCGATAAAAGAAGATGAAATCCTTCCACTGACATACATAAAACGCACTGTCATGTTATACATCGATACATCTCGTTACTGATATTTTTTAACGAAAAGGATTTATTTTATGTGTGCTTGATTATAAGTTGATTTAATTTTGTAGTAATACCCCTGACGAGATACAAAAAAATATACCAGGCAAAATATTTTGCAATGTACTGTTTCTGTCAATATTATTTAAATTTTATACGGGAAAAATGGTTTAAACAACAAGAATTCCATGGCAAAATTCGACTGCCTTCTTCGGTGAGATCTGAGTAGAAGAATAAGAAAATATGGAGGAAAGGAAAGAAGAAGAAGAAGAGGAGGAGGAGGATGAAGAGAAGATGAGAAAGAGTAGCGTTGCGGTAATAGTAGATACTGTAGTTGTAGTAGTATTAGTAGTAGTAGTAGTAGTAATAGTAGTAGTAGTAGTAGTAGTAGTAGTAGTAGTAGTAGTAGTAGTAGTAGTAGTAGTAGTAGTAGTAGTAGCAGTAGTAGTAGTAGTAGTAAGAGTAGTAGTAGTAGTAGTAGTAGTAGTAGTAGTAGTAGTAGTAGTAGTAGTAGTAGTAGTAGTAGTAGTAGTAGTAGTAGTAGTAGTAGTAGTAGTAGTTGTTGTTGTTGTTGTTGTTGTTGTTGTTGTTGTTGTTACTGCTGCTGTTTGTCGTTGTTGTTGCTGTAACCTCATTTCGACTGAGATTAGAACTGGTTCATAATGACAACAGACACACAGACAGACAGACATACCAGACGACACTGAGTCATAGTGTGGAGGTTTGGACGCCAGCATGTTGGTGAGTCTGTCCGTGTGGTCGACCGCCACGTCCACGCACCCGGGGTAGAGCGAGGATGTTGGAGTGGATACCGTGATGATTGTTGATTCAAGACTGCAAGCAAAAACATGTTTAACCAGGTTAGACGCTAGAGATGCTATACTTGCGTGTTCTAGATCTAACAGATATGTTTGATTGAAGTGATTGATTGATATGATTGTTTTAAAACCAGTGCAGTTTAATCTGCCGGCATATGTAGCATGGGTATTGGGAACCCGCTTCGTAACTCCAGTATACTGGGTTTGATCCCATGACGGGTGTTGTGGCTGCAAACCATCTTGCGTTAGTTTTATCAGTGGTATTGAGGGCAGATCATTCGTAAAGCAATAGCAAACTACTAAACGTAAAATTAGCTAGTAAAATCAAAAATAGCCATACATTAACAAAAAAACTGTTGTGGTTGGTTATGCAACGTCCTGTAAGAGAGCGCAAATCTGTTGATTGGTTTAGTCAGATATGTTGGAGGGAGTTGTAAGTCTAGTTCTTACGTTCTCCCACAATGGGACCCCAGAACAAACACGGTGAAGTGTGGTTGTATCAGATAGGTTTGATTGAGTTTATATAGTTTTCTCAACTGCAGTCTAGCTCAGTCCGAGGATGCTTCTGTTCGCCTTGAGATATATATATATATAATAACCAGGGTACGTGTTAAAGTTGCTATACTTGTGTGTTCTAGATCTATCAGACATGTTTGATTGAAGTGATTGATTGATTTGATTGTTTTAAAACTAGTGCAGAAGAAATGATTGCAGAAAGGATGAGAGCTGAGCGTCTGATAAGAAACGGATTAAACACAAATGTTGTTAACAATGGTCCAGAAATCCCATGCTATCATTGTGGAAGACTTTTCTTGACACGGGCGGGTCTTGCTAGTCACACTCGCCATCGCCATGGGCTATGAGTCTCAGGCCTCCTCATAGCGCAATATAACACTATCGTCTGGAAAGACCGAAAGGTGCCAAAGATGATGATGAATGAGTATAAGTTGTATTCAGGCATAAGTTAACCGAGCCGCATCTTAGGATCTCAAGATCTTCAGGGGCCTCAAAAAATGTAATTTTTATTATAAGTGAATTTTTTCTAAATATATTTTAAATGCAATTTTTATTTAATGTATGTTAAAAAAAACTTGTCTGCACTAAGCATAATGTGTTTAGAAAGCGACATGTTACATAGTAAACCTATTGACTCCATGATCAATGCGTTTGAAATTGGGAAAGCAAGAAAACACAGAGTGTTTTGAGTTGTAATGTAGAGCTTTTTAGAGGATTACATAATATTATTTACGTGATTTTGCAAACACATTCTTTATTATTTCTTATAATAACAATCAAACGACAATATATTTTCATTTTCAGTAAGCAACAGCAAACTACTAAACATAAAACAAAGTGACAAGCATATACATTTTACAGTGTTCTGAAATTAGCTAGTGTGATTTAAAGTGGTAGCGGCTTTTCTAATTCTTAGAGCCTCTTCGAGTCTAGATCTTGCACTAAATCAGTGTCAGTTTAGTTCAGTCGTTGAATAATGGTTGTTTAAATTTATATGGGTGCCAACTCAACTCCAACACGCGATATATTCAATACTTTTGGTTTGTTTGGGTTATTACTGCTAATACTCTCTTTTTCAATTGAGACGATAATGAGAATTCTTATAAGCTGTATAAATCATATATTGATATACGGAAGTGAATCATGGACAGTTAGTAAATAAGTACAAAATTATTTGGAAGCTGCGGAGATGTGGCTTAATAAACGAATTATGAGAATGCCTTGGACAGGTAAAAAGAGTAATAAGAATGTCTTGGGAAGAAAAAAAAAAACGACTCACAAAGAGAACAGATTGCCTACATCAGAAGGAGACAATCTACATTCTTTGGTCGTGTGATGAGAAGGAGAAAACTGGAGTACAACGTGACAGTGGGAAAGTTGGAGGGGAGGAGAGGCAGAGGGAGACCGAGAGAACAGATGCTGGACAGTCTGGAATCATGATATGGAGAATCATCAATGTTAGAGTTGATTGAAAGTACACGAGACAGAAAGTGGTGGATAGACATCACTACCAACGCCACACAGCATGGACTTTAAGAACAAGATTACTGCTAATCTAGCACATTCAGGTCTCTTTGATTTAGCTGACATACTTCAGTCACCACTAGTCTTGTTCACTCATATGACATGCTTGATCGAATTGTTAAACTTTAAAGTGTCCTTCTATTTCATTGTTTACACTGATGAAATGTACTGTTTAGAAATCTCGTATAATTCTAAGTATCTCTTAGGTATTTGTACGCATTTGTCCTTATCTGAGAAGAGTAGATACCCAGTTAACTCCCTGGGTGAGGAAAACAATTATCCCATAATTTTCTTTGTCTCTAACAGAAGAAAATAAACACACAAACTAGTTCACATTGTGAACACTGGATCTGCAATGTAGATAACGGCTTAGTTTGGGTTGGTCGAGGCCTATACTTCATTAGGAGATAAGGGGCATAATAGTAAGTATTCTTGATTAAATACAAAGTATTATATACAAACAAGGGAACTGTCGTGGTCTAACGGCTAGACGCTAGCATGTGGATCGGAAGGTCGTGGGTTCGGTTCCTGACAGTGTCCGGACTTTTTTTCAAAAATGGTCATGGCTCCCAGGTCGACCCAGCCTTGAGTGGGTACCAGGTACAGTCCTGGGAAGTAAAGGCGGCCGCCATGATGCTGACTACATCACCCAGCAAGTGCCGTTTGGTCTATATAATACAAGTCTAGCCCTATATACCCAATAGGCCTACAGGCGTGTAAAGGGTCATTGTCCTTACTTATATACAGGTGGTATATGTGAGTAAAATAGAAGAAAAACGTAAAAGGGTCATTGTCCTTACTTATATACAGGTGGTATATGTGAGTAAAATAGAAGAAAAACGTAAAAGGGTCATTGTCCTTACTTATATACAGGTGGTATATGTGAGCAAAATAGAAGAAAAAACGTAAAAGGGTCATTGTCCTTACTTATATACAGGTATATGTAAAAGGGTCATTGTCCTTACTTAAAGGTAGAAAATAGAAAAAAACGTAAAAGGGTCATTGTCCTTACTTATTATATACAGGTGGTATATGTGAGTAAAATAGAAGAAAAACGTAA